AGGTCCTCTACCTAAAGGTAGAGGAGGTGCAAGCTTCGCATTGTGGCCATCTATTACTTTACAAAATGGGTTGAGGCTGAACCGCTGGCAAAAATTACAGAGGCAAACACTTCCAAGTTCTTATGGAAGATTATTATATGCCGGTTCGGGATCCCCTATTCGATCATCTCAGACAATGGTAGACAATTCGACAACAAGAAGGTCAGAGAACTATGCGAGGAACTTGGCATCAAGAAACATTTCTCCACACCTCACCACCCACAAGAAAATGGCCAAGTTGAGGTTGTCAACAAAACAATCAAACATGTCCTAAAAAGGAAGCTTGATGTGTCGAAGGGGGCCTAGGTGGATGAGCTGCCACAAGTACTTTGGGCGATCCGAACCACCACGAGGACCCCAACTGGAGAAACACCCTTCCTAATGGCATTTGGAACTGAGGCAATGAACCATTGAGCCCCGTTGAGGTCGGACTACCGTCTCCAAGATGTCTGCATTTTAGTGAGATGACAAATGACGAGCTTAGGAGGTGCGACCTCGACTTCATTGAAGAAAGAAGAGATGACTCCTAGTTGAAGCTCGGTACATATCAAAGAAAGATGACATGGTACTTCAACTCAAAAGTCAAGAAGAAATCATTCTGAATCAATGACTTGGTCCTTAGAAGAGTTTTCCTTTCCTCAAAGGAACCTGGTTCCGTTTCCCTGGGTCCGAACTGGGAAGGCCCATATAAAATCAAAGAAGAGATTCGGCCAGGAACTTACTGGATTGAAGACATGAACGGCAAGACACAACCCCATCCATGGAATATCGAGCACCTTAGAATCTATTACCAATGAGTGTATCACCTCGCTGGAGGGTCTTTCCCAGCTCATGTAATGTTTCTATGATTCAATAAAATTTATTTGCTTAAAACTGTTGCATTACGTCATAACCTCGGAGGAGAGGCAAGCGTCCATTTCAGGGCCACCTAGCTTGAACTCCGAGGTTCATGCACATGTCTCCCTTTTTGACGAGGCTGAACGTCAAAGGGAGAAGCCCTAACATGTCTACACCATCCACCATGTTGGGAAGCGTCGTAACCTCGAAGGAGAGGCAAGCGTCCGTTTCAGGGCCACCTCGCTTGAACTCCGAGGTTTATGCACATGCCTCCCTTTTTGACGAGGCTGAACGTCAAAGGGAGAAGTCCCAACATGGCTGCACTATCCCCAATGTTGGGAAGCGTCATAACCTCGGAGGAGAGGCAAGTGTCCGTTTCTGGGTCACCTCGCTTGAGCTTCGAGGTTCATGCACATCCCTCCTTTTTTGACGAGGCTGAACGTCAAAGGGAGAAGCCTCAACATGGCTGCACCATCCACCATGTTGGGAAGCGTCGTAACCTCGGAGGAGAGGCAAGCGTCCGTTTCTGAGCCACCTCGCTTGAACTCCGAGGTTCATGCACGTGCCTTCCTTTTTGACGAGGCTGAACGTCAAAGGGAGAAGCCCCAACATGGCTGCACCATCCACCATGTTGGGAAGCATCGTAAACTCGGAGGAGAGGCAAGCGTCTGTTTCAGGGCCACCTCGCTTGAATTCCAACGTTCATGCACATGCCTCTCTTTTTGACGAGGCTGAACGTCAAAGGGAGAAGCCCCAACATGGCTGCACCATCCACCATGTTGGGAAGCGTCGTAACCTCGGAGGAGAGACAAGCATCCGTTTCTGGGCCACCTCACTTGGACTCCGAGGTTCATGCACATGCTTCCATTTTTTACGAGGCTGAACGTCAAAGGGAGACGTTTCAGGCTCGTACACGAATAAGAATAAAATTTCAACTTCGGCTGCAACAATTTATTCTTAAAACCTCCTCAGGTTACGGTTATTAACCTTAAGTACAATTCATTTGCTTAAGTCCAATATTGGTCATAACTTCCATACAATTTATTTGTTAAAGTGATTGGAGTTGGTATACCCAATTAAAGTTATTTGGTTCATCAATCAATATTACGTTCAATTGCTTAGCGAGGCCAATACACTTCAGAGAAAGGAACAACATTAAACAAAAGAGATATTATATTAATTTTCAATCGAAAATACAAAGGAGGGCCTGCGGCCAGTACATCATCAATGACTGAAAAAAAAAACTATCCTAAGCCTGGGAAGGTGATGGAGGTGCTTCAACAGCTGGGACTTCCGCAGCTTGAGTGTCAGAAATTGCTTCTCCTGCTTCTACTGCTTCATCTTCCACCGCCTCATCAGCTGGGGTTTGAGGCACCTCGTCCACAAACTCTGACCTGAGCTACGACAGGTCCTGATTTGGGTACAACTCCTCAGTCCCCTCCATCACCTCGGCGTAAGCAAAGTTCCTCCAGTATGTGCTGAAGCTCTGGTACTCCGCAGTGTTGTGGAAATTAGCAATATAGTCCTTCACTGTCTCCTCCCTTGCATTTCGGGCTTCCTCCCTAGCATGGGTTGCATCATCGACATACCACTTAATTTGGCCCTCGAGGTACTTTTACGCATCTTGGGCCCCTAACCAGCTCCAGATTAGCCTTCTCCAAGGCTTCAGCTGTCACCCTTTGTTGGTCATTGGAAACCTCCACCTTCTTCGTTAAGGAGGCCACCTCGTACTGGGACTCATGTACCTCTCTCTTCAACGCCTTTATCTGAGCCAAGGCAGACTCCAGCTTGGCCGATTCTTCAAGTTTTTGGGTCCTGGCATCTTCAGCTTCGGCCCTAGCTGCCTTCAGCACCTCTGCAAGGGAGGCAGTCTTCTTCTTAGACGACAGGGCCCTCGTCTGACAGTCTGTAAGAGCCTCCCTACACTCCAGTGCGAGACTAAAGGTCCTAACACTTTGGCTCACAAGAGCCCTGGTTAAATTCGTCACATCGCAGGAGGAGGCGTGCAGCTACCACCGATCCGTCCAGAATCTATAAAAACTTTCTGTGGCGCTTCGGATCTCAGGTGGCAGGACCTCTACCAAAGCTCGGGCAGAGGATCCTCCCTGCCCGCAAGGAAGCTATACGTGAATAGGTTTCTCTTTGGCAGCCTCCTCCTCAGCTACCTCGGCTTGCCTCCTCGTAACCTCCTCTCTTGCCTCATCAGCCTCACCACGCCTGACCATTTCAATCTTAAATGCTTTCGAGGTGACTTCTAATAGCTTTGACGGTCCGACTTCTTTGTCTTAGGACATAGAACTCCCAAATTTCCCAAAAGAGCTGGAGAGGTGCACGAGTTTCCTCTTCTTCAGTTCCTCAGAGACTTTCTCCTTCCCCCGAGGCTCCTTGGCCTTTTCTTGCCTCTAGGGGACCCCCTATTCGGAAGCCCGCGAGGTACTATCCTTGGAGAGTCGTTCAACCCTACCTCGGACCTCCTTTGCACCACTGGACCCCGGCTTCAGGGGCCTTGCCTTCACAGTAGAAGTTGCCCTCAGAATGGACGCCATGTCAGGAGCTGGGTACTCCTTCCTCTTAAACTTATCTGCACAACACACTGCTTCAGTACCAAAACAAAAAGATAAAAATATACAAGTGTGGGAGCTTCATACCCTTGAAGGCCATCAGTTCAAAGTCCAGGAAATAGCGACTTCTGTCGATGAGGTGGTCGAAGTGGCGAAGCTTTAGAGGTCTCTTGTAAATATCCTCTATTACTTCAAACTCCTACCTGCTTAGCTCGAACCTCGTACTGCAATCTGCAAACGAGGCATCAACAGTTAGACAAACAATTAGAGCTAAAAAAGGAATGCAAACTACTAGGGTGGGAGACTCACGAGTTTCGTAGTACTGGGTTGGTACTGTGCAAGACAGGGCTTTGTCTCCCTCCACCGCCTGCCACCTGCCCCTAACCCAGAACAACGACTCCTTCCACCCCTTTATGGAAGAAGGCAGCCCCACCACAAAAAGTGCATTGGCCCCTCAGGGAGTCAAGTAATACTACCTCTTGGACTCCTTACCTATTATCCTAGGCTGAAAGAGGGTCATGAAAACGTGGAGAGGCATGTCCTCCCCAAGCGACACTTCCTTCCACAGGAAGTGCGAGTCGACCAACTGGCTCCACCCATTTGGCAGAACTTGGGTCGGCGATAACATGAAGTTCCTCAGCACAGCCCTGAAAAAGGGGTGCAGAGGAAGACGCATACCTGCCTTAAATAAATATTCACTCACTGCAACTCACCCCGACCCCGGATAACAGGCTCGCTCATGGGCCTCGGCGACTGGCATCTCCACATAATGAGGTACACAGTACCTCTCCCTTATCTCCCCCAACCTCTTCGACGTCATATTCGAAGGGACTCTAGACGTCCCCCACTCTACATTGTAATCTACCTCCTCCTCGGTCATAGCAATCTGCTCAACCTCGGAGTCCTCCCTATAACTAGACCCCTGACCAAACGACGCGACAGTGACCAACTCCCTACCTGAAGTCGACTCCATCTCAGAAAGCAACTAAGAACACAATAAAAGGATTTTCTGTGAAAAATACCTACTGAAAAACTACGCGAACACAGTTTCCGGAAAAACAGTAGACGGAATTGTCTCAACGCCAGAATGCCTAAGCTTTAAGAGAAAAAATCAGATTGCGAGTGCTAAAAAACTCTGAAGATGGGAGTTCTCTCACCTTTTATAAAGGATCCAGACGAACCCCCATCGTCAGATCGAATCTCATTCAATCTGAACCCTTCAGTTTAAATCAGATCCGAGGCATAGAATTCAAACA